CATTCCAGGGCCTATAGTAGACTGAAACGTATGCTACTGAGTAGATGTTAAATAACCAAAACGTTATGTGTTAACCATGGGTGAATCTGAAGTAAATGGATGAAAATGGAGCAGCCCGTTATGGGAAAGTGTATGAGTGTGCCAGCAAGCTGACCAATCATTCAATACTATGTATGCATGATTAAGATATGTGTGTATCAGACAGCCAAGGGTATGCAGTGTGACTGCTTTATTCCATTAATCATAAATTAACATGATAATATATTGTAACTGTTAATGTTAAGGATTGTGTGACGTTAGTTTTAGTACATACAATACAATGCCGTGTATGTTATACTGTTATAAAAAGAAGTTTTATATCCCCGGTAGGCAGAACTCCGTGTTTGATCGACGAGTCGTTTGTTATCAATTTATCGAATCGAAAAAGGTTGAAACGATTATAAGTTCCGAAAATTTTGCGCCAATTTCTACTATCGGAACGTTACGTCATTATTATATCCTCAACTTTACTTTGTCCGTCATTGATGTTCGGTTAACGTTTTAAGAATTATATCGAAGACGAACATAACACATGCATATGAGATTTGACCTATCAAAATTGGTAAAAAATATATAATACGCCAATAATGAATTACACTGTACTGTTAAGTTGTTTCGTTCTTTTAAGTCTCATCGATGATGCAAGGGGCCAAAAAGGTGGAAATCAAAAGTGATAGAATCTACTGATGAAATGGAGGGGCATGTGCATACTAAATTAAGTCCAGGTTTAAACTGTATGATTCCGGTTCATGTGTTACAATGTAGTTATGTAATAACTTTGTGACGTGATTATTCTTCGTTATATATCTTGTTTATGTTTGTTTCATAAATGTATGTGGGCGTGTCCGTAAGCCGTATCTGTTTGTGTACTTCACCGGACGATTGAACAATTGACAGGTGACCTCAGTGCACGGACATTCCACGTGTATGTTCGGCTACCATTAACACCGTGTATAAGGATAGGGGTCTGCATTATTTTACTGACTCCCGATTGTTCTTTGGTAAACCATACTACAATGATTTCAACCTTTCTAACATTGAAACAAAAGAACTATTGTATCTTGGGATACATATGGTAACATTGTGTTTACATATGTACGTCACGTGAGGCAACAATAATTAATGATATGATGTTTGCTTAGAATCATGTCCTTGAACTTGGACTGACAATCAGAACACTGAATATAAAGTAAACATAATATAATGATCAATTATAAAAATATAAAACAAGGATATATTTTTGGATCTAGACTAGTGGTATACATTTATTATATTACTCCCTTGTGTTTCTAGTAAAATGCTCAATCTGCGAAAAACGTGCGATAAAAACACCATGAGTAATTTGATATAATTCCAATCTATCAACCTACGGCATTGGTTTTAATTTCATAGCCCTGGTGTATATATTCACATCAAATTTATATTGTAGATTACCTTCAATGAAATTCATTTATATTTGTCAAACGAGTATAGAAAAATCCCAAGCAAACATTGGGGAAAATAACTGAAAATTATTGTGATAGTTTTACTGATATGCAAGCACGTTTAAGTTATTATAAGTAGGTGTTAATGCCCAAAACTATCTTTTGCAATTTTGAAGTGAAGGATATTTTCTTCTTGGGTACGTCATTTTTGTGTATGCGTCAGCAAAAAATAAATCATGACATAACAAGACAGACGGTCACATTTAAATATCTTGTTCTAAAGCCATAATCCTTAACGACATTTAATTATAATTCTAAAGCAGTATCTACCGCTGTGGGTATAATATAGGCCTACACGGTGTCTGCATATACCTGCATTTGATCATGGAACAAAAGTCCACTGAAGGGTAGAGCACTAATGTGACTAACACGACTGTTGTACAGAAAATTAACACAATTGTATTCCATTAAACAATAGGTAGTATGACTTAAGTGGATGAATCATGTTGTCACATATAACAAATATCTTTATACAAACGGCTTGCTATTGTTTGCTACTGTTTACTGTGTCGCCCAGGGTATCCGTCTTAAAGGGACAATTTAGTAAGCTTTAATCTATAATCTTGTCATAAAATTCTTCATGATAATATAATTTGATTCTCCTTATGAACAATTCATGTCGGGAAACCGACAAGAGACAATGTTTTATTGGCGTTTTAATCAGTAATGAAGAAATCCTTAACTGTACAGCCGTACGTTTTGGCGGAAGCAGACGGTGAAATTTTAGCTAACAATATGTCCTTCCAGCCGAGGAGAGAAGGAAACTTCTCGCTTTATTCACCGAGCCTCTTTTAAGTATAAGTACAGGCATTTATTCTGAATAAAAAGGAGCTTCAAAAAACATCTCAAACATCGTTATTAATGAGTAATCTATTGATATCGTACACTCTCTGGTTTAAATTTCTCCCTACTGTACCATCTCAGTGCGTTCACGCTCTAACTGAACCTGTTCGTTTTAATTCAAATCCAGACAGAAATATCTGATTAGATTTTTATGTATTATGATACTTATAATACTTGCTTGCGATGTACACGTATTGTGTAAGAATGAATTGTGTATAAACTCAGACTCATTACTGACAATGTGTTGTCGACAGCGTAATACTGTACATATTTACTTCTCACTAAAAGGCCCGGATATTGCGCTATTTCGGTCGAAGCTATTTTTACCGCTGCCTTTCGCAAAAGATCAAACTGACAACACTGGACGTTGGCTTTGGGTCATGTCATAATCAACTACGTAAACTTTCGTTAGGAGACATACATTTTCAGTATCGGCTCGATTTTCATGGCCTTAGCTATTAAAAAAATATGTATTGCGCACTGACGACAGTATATAGAGGATCTTACATGAGTGTCCATGTCATATTGAATTTATTGAACGAGTTTAATTAATTCAATATGACATGGACACGAGTGTAAGATTCTATTTATCACATAACAATCATTATTTGAATTTAAAAAAAAACCACCACACAACTATGCATTATCAGCTGCTCGATATAGGTAAAAATCCAAAGTACTCCGATCATAGTATTGACGTTCCGCGCAATGTAAAGTAGTTCCATATTTGTTTATTTAAATTATGAACAGTTTTGAATGCACTGAAAGTAACAATGATGAAAATAAACATTAAATAGCTGAGAAATTTAAATTAATCAGAAAAAATGCACTTTATTAAGTTCAAAATTTTGTGACGTCACCCCTCATATGAGTCATATGTCGTTTCAAGCAGTCACAACAGGCCTTCTGAGAGTCGCTGTCACTTTCAATGATGGCTTTTCGGATACGTTTTCGTGTTGGTTCTAAGTGACCACCTTGGTAAATATTAACTTTAATGTTCCGTCCACTAACCGGACCACTGAAAATTGATTCAAATCCGCCACTTACCTCTGACATCGATGATGAAGATGACGATTTTGTGAAACACGTGGAAATACGCCTTCTTGACGGCGTTGACATGTTGGCAGGTGAGATAACGGATTTTCCGGACCTCAGGATTCGTGAAATCTGCTTGTGTTGGTCTGTGTTGATATGGCTATAGTTGTTTATTGATGAAATATTCTTGTGTCCTGAACTTTGCATAATTTGGGTGGGGGGAACGTTACTGTCACTGAGTTTTTGAACGAGATAATTCCGAGCACTGTGATTTGACAGATGTTTTTCAGTTTCGATTCGGGACAACTTTATCATTCTTTGCATCGTGGTGCACAATTTATTGACTCCTACTGGCTCTTTCCTGAACCAAATTGGAATATTAGGTGATGATATTTGTTTGGTTGCTGCGTAAACAGGATCAGATGGGCCACCGTAGCCTGTCGGACGTTTTTCACGGTAAAGTTTAGAAATTTTATCACAGGGCACCTGTCAGGGTTTTCCAAATTTGCCCACAGTTTCGGTTTAACAGCTCTAATAGCGCGAGGATTTTCGCTGGTTCTTGTTTTTGTTTGACGTTCAGTTAATTCCAGAAATTCATGCCCATCCTAATCTTTTCCTAGAGTTACGTCACGCCAACACATGTCCCTATGTTCTGCCAAGCCCCGGAGACCAAAATGTGAACGTTTTTTTTTTTAGAAAATACACCAAAGTTTGTAGTAAGTTGTCGGGTGTGTTTGAACCTAGTGGACCAGAATTCCACAGCATGTCTATTTCAGTGTCATTTATTGGATCACTTCTGAGTGCTAAATTGCCTTTTCCGTCGCGTTTCAACTGACGCTGCTTACTTTTCATAACTTTGCGCACTTGGGCAAACATAGGGCTGCTAACAATTGTGTGACCGTAGTTGTTGCGACGTAATTGCCGATCAAAATTTGACATCATCCCCAGTAAACTGGTTGGTTCATATTCAGAACCATCCGTTTTCCTGATACCAATAAAAAATCTACACAGCAAAGGACACACTTCAATTACTGGGATATCGATGATTTGTCTACTTTCATTGACTTCAGGCAACTTGAAAAATTGATACAAAAGTTTCACATCGTAGAATGTTTTGCTTAGAGTGCTTTTGTTAGATTGGTTAAGGACAAAATTTCCCACTTCATCTTCATTTACGGTGAAGTCATTACGGAATTGTCATCCCCAGGCCCAGCATCCAAGTTTGTCGTCTGCTCCGGTCGCTGTTCTGACCGGGCCTGTGTAACAGTGACCTTCTCAATACGATCTCGTTCAAGTTCAACTTTAAATCAATTCCAGAATCTTCTACACTATACAATGTTGCAAAACCCCTTGGAACAATATCCTTTGCAGTACATGTACCTGTTTCTTTGTTGTCAATTGTAACCGTGTCGCCAATGTTTATCTGCTCAGCCATTCTTTTTGCTACGGTGTAGTAAATAGAAGTAGCTAGTACATTTAGTGGCGTAAGAATATGTTCCCACAGTTTTGACCAATCCCAGCACCTTTAGGTTTTATTACACATGTGTAATACAGGGGTGTCAGCGTTTCAGTTGACAGATTTTGCGTTTTCANCCTTCTTTGTAATATATAATGGCCAGAATAATTTACAAGTTGATCCAGATGACCCGTGACTTGCACACATTATCTTATGCCTTAGATCCGTTGTACTGAATGACCCAATGTGCTGAAGGATCCGAGAGAGATACTGTCCGTCCCTGTATCCAGCCAAACCACGTGTCTGACATGGTCATGAAGTGGACTGGCCACCGTCTAGTGGAGAGCATATACACACCGTCCTTGTCCTCGACATTGAAGATGTTCCACTCCCCTTCCTTACCAGGCCTGCCCGGCCTCACTTCCACCCACTTCTTATCGCCACCTCTCATCACAACATACTTACCCTTCTGACCTTGGGGGCTTATATAGTAACACGTTGAACCCTCCTTCTTCAGTAACACAAAGTTGTGTTTGGTCTTGTCCGGTGATCTTTCTGAAGGGGATTCCGAGGCACGAAGACATACTTCTGATTTGATGTCGTGGTTTGCAAACCAGCTCATCCATTTCATAGTATGCATGGCTACCGGTACTTTATCTAGGTTTTCAGGTGCGTGGAAATTGGTGCAATCTTCCATGAATTTGCAAGTGAACGGCCAGTGGTCAGGGTCAAAGAACGCAGCGAACCGGATATGACTTTGGTTAGGAAGCACCAAAGATTTGACCAAGTTCCTGTTTCGCTTGTGCTCGCCTTCAAGTCCTGTTCTGATACCTTCTGCCAGGCGGTCAGAATGTCCAGAGTATCTGAGCATGGCGTAAAGTTCCAACATAACGGCGTCACGGAGAATAGCCAGGTGACAGTACATGTCTATGTATTGGATAATTCTCCGGCAGTGTGTGGAAAGAGCTTCCTCTGACAGTGTTTCCGGCTCGTCTTGCATCAATGTCAAAATTCTTGACTCTATCTTTCCCAATGTTTCCACACATGATGGTATGTTTATCAGCTGCAGTAAACCATTAACATCTTCCCCACTCAGATCCTTCTTTGAATCATCACTTTCACCGACGATGGTCTCATGGGCAAATGACAATGCTCTACATGCGCCGTTAGCATGGGATTGAAGTGACGCGTCCGCTATTTTATTAAGAGCGTTTGATATATTGGTTGCCATCATGCCAGTCGTGTTCCGTCTATCTACAGTCTGGTTAGCACTATGACTACTTTTCTGACCGCTTCCGGCAAATCCTAATACAGAGAAAACGAACCGTGCAAATTCCGTTCCGAGTGGTCCAACAATCGGAACTAAAACACGGACGGCACACACAATCCTTAAACTGCCTGCCAATTGGTTACCACTTGTTATGTCAATGACACCTCTTAAAATATTCTGTACTTGTAAAGCTACTTCCCCTAACTGACCTACATTTGTAGAAGGGTTTGCTAGTTTCTTCGATACCGCATCGGTGACATTTCCTATTTGTAGTTTTTGGCCGATGTCGTGTAATGTATTCGAAAGCGTCTGTCCGTTCTCCATGTCGATTCCTGAAAAAGGTAAAATGCTTGAATCATTCATTTGCTACTGAAACTGAAAAAAGGGCCCAGGAAGCTTATGCCGTTGCGCAGCGGCCGCCATCCTTGAAGGTCCAATTAACTATTTATTTTTAAAATCTTCATTACCAAGGCCAACTGGACTTAATTGTCATGGATGGGGGATTAAGCTCCCTTTCGGGCACTAGAACGGGCCGCATTAGGGAAAATAAAGGCTAATTTAAAAAACGTGTGGATAAAATAAATGTTAACCTTTAGTGTTGTTTAAAAAGATAATATCACCATCTTAAGGCAAGAAGCGGTGTCAAATGATTATGTCCATTTTTTTCTCAAAACCTTCTCCTTGCTTATGAATGAATGAATGAATGAATGGAGGATAACTAAAATTAATATAGGGCATCCCTGTGCCAAGAAGATTTATTGTTGTACAGAAAAAAGGTTTGACCGCTGGAGGAAAATGGGAAAGACCAAGAGGAGAACCAGAGGGAAGAAATTTAATTTTGTACTGGAGCATCCTTGGACGAAAGGATTTTATGTTGTATGAAAAAAGAGTGTGCCTCCCCTAAGGCAAGTGTGATTGAGCCGAAAATCAGTATTTTGGGTTTTTCCTTGAACTTGTTCTCTTGCATACTCTTGGCAATATTGAATTGTCGCAATATTTAATATGATATATTGAGGTTTCAAATTAATGAAGTTGGTGTTACTTCGGGGGCTTGACTCTTCCAAACGCCAAATTAAGCTGTATTGCATCGCAGATCTACTTAATTTCTATTCTATAAAAAACTACATATCATAGTCATATAAGGACATATACATCTGTGCTAAAGTAATTTCCCGTGATTCCGCCACGTCCCTTAAGACTTCTTCTCTTGGTTTTAACGTGGGAGATCCCTAGTTCATAACCATATCCCACTGACCTACCAAACAAACTGGCAGCGGAAGAACGTAACGGCAGCTGTAATTGAATTCACCGACAGCGATAGATATGGATGAAGAAGAGCAACACATAGAGGTACTAACTAACGTGAAAGCTCATTTTAAAAAGGTATGAAACTGGTTTCCGTCTTCGGTTTATTGTTCGAATATTAAAATTTGGGAAAGGTTTTGTCCCACATATATGAATGATAAGTACTTTAAGGTAAAGGCAGTGCCAGTCTCTTCTTTCGGAACGTTGTTGGTCGACACAGCCAGTCAATAATTTCGGGAAGTCTCTGGTCGTCACGAGCAGTCTACTCTTTCGGAAAGTCTCTGGTCGTCACATGCAGTCGACTATTTCGGAAAGTCTCTGGTCGTCACAAGCAGTCGACTCTTTCGGAAAGTCTCTGGACGTCACAAGCAGTCGACTCTTTCGGAAAGTCTCTGGTCGTCACATGCAGTCTACTCTTTCGGAAAGTCTCTGATCGTCACAAGCAGTCTACTGGGTCACTAAGATGACTTAGATGTTTGAATTATAATCATCAATGCTGTCTCATGCTTATTAAATGCAGCGACCATGTCAACGATAAAAAGCCGTGTAGAATGACTATTTACAAATCACTACTAGTCAATCATTTAATAGTCGATATATGTAGCTTATCTTTAAAACGCCTGGTCCTGGGAATTAATAGGACAACCTTTACACTCAAAGAACAAAACGGAAATTTAAACGGGTGGGTTCCTTTGTGAAAGCTAGTTACATAAGTATTTTAGTGTAAATATGAAGTGGAACACTCACACAAACCGGGTTACGAACCCGGAACCTTCTCATTATGAAAATATTGTATGTATGATTCAGATAACATGACTGAAAGAAATAGAATAGGGCAGTATGAATCAATGCATTTTTTATTTATTTTTAAAAGGAAATTATAAAAATGACCAAACATAGGTATTTAAATCATTTGTTTTATGAAAGTTCTTAAAGGAAGCCATCTGGATACGCCGCAGTGGGCCAGTTCTAAATCCAATCCAGGGGGCTCAAAGACTTTCTCATATCTATGACCAAGTATTAAACAAAGCGTAGCTGGATCGAGTCATTTCGGTACATGTATAACAAGAAGTGTACACAGACGAAATCAACATCGATTTTATGGACAACTCGTACACATTTTACACCTTTGTGTATATACGCTTTACTTGTCATTTGTTTGATGAAGGTGACAGTGTACATATCGTACTAGTCATCGAAACGTCACATAGAAAATTTCATTGGTTGTGTAAAAAAGAACATTTTCATTGGTTGTGTAAAAAAGAACATTTCATAATCCATACTTACCAACCTGAAGAAAATCAATTGTATTGTACACAAACAAAAACGAATAGATTCATATTATTAGGATTGGTTAGACTATAAACCGTTCAGTATTGACTACGCTACCCGTATTTATGTAGCAGGTTGTACAACTTATGAAAATATACTGCATCCATTTAAACAATGTGTCCGAACATTGTATCTGAACAATATGTATAAACCTGCATGTAAGAGTTATGTAAAGGTTTGATGATGTGAAATGCTGTTGACGTGAATCAATAATTTACTACGCACATTTTTATATACACCATGACTGGCTACGACTGGTTGTGCTAAAAATAAACCTCACGTAAACACTCGCTTTACATATGGCCGTTCGTCCCTCAATCATGTCACGTATTCCTATTAAGGGATACCCTATCCTACGATATTATGGGAAAGATCACCTGTCAACTGACCTATTATGAGGTCAGTCCATCATCCCTCAAGTATCCATCCCGCCATGGAGGGATTCACTTTAACTATAGAAGGAGGGACAAGGTGGCGTTGAACCCCCATTTCCTATTTAACAACTACTGTGAACTACAATGACAATGCCTTATCTCAGAAACTCTCCGGTCTGGATTAAGTGTATAGATTGTTAAATAATTGCCTGTCACTTCTCTATTGATGCATTCGATATTAGGCGAGTGTTCTAGGGCGAGACGGAGGGGTGCACACCTCCCTGAAATGTGTATGTTTCACTATACATGATTTCCTTAAAAAATATCTAGCACAGCCCACCCGTTAAACAATGTCATATACTTACTGTATGTTTCTGTATTGGAACAAGGGCTCCCCTTCTTTTCTTCACCTTTAAATGAAAACACTCGAAAGCTCAGCCTTGAACCAGTTCTAGTCCTATTATCGTCGATAAGATTAAAAAAGTCTATATCGTAAATACGGCCTACCTTTGGACGTGCACGTATCATTTTCGTGTACGATTATAGATATGCTATATATATCGATGACAATGCGACTGCGTAAACCCATCTCCAAATGAAATTTGCTTTCGTTTTTTGTGATATTTTTAACCAATGAATAACCCCTGTAATATAATTTTAAAAAATCGATTTTGGTTTGAGACTACAGTTTTGGGCATTTACAAATCTGTTTCTACACAACAAAAGCTGGCTTTTCATGTTGTCTATTTTTGTACTCCACATGTGTAAATATTGTGAAAAATCTACAGGAATGACCTATGCTAAAACGTGAGTATTTCTGTTACCGAGTAGGCGATATTCTATCCTCAACGCCCGCCATTGTCCGGTTAACATTTTTAGTGGAAAATTGAATATGAACGTAATGCATCCATGTGATACTGCACCTATCAAAATTGGTAAAAGGTACATTACGCCAATAATGAATTACATTGCACCGTAAAGTTGCTTCGTCTTTTGAAGACACGCCGATGATGCAAGGGCCCAAAATGTTCGAAATCGAAAGTCATATGATCTACTACTGAAACGGAAGAGGATGTGCATACTAATTATAGCCCAGTGGTAAACTGTATGTTTCCGGTTCATGTGTTACAATGTGATTATATAATCACTTTGTGATGTGATTATACTTCCCTGTATGTCTTGTTTATGTTCCGTTTCATAAAAGAACTAGTGTATCTTGGGATATATATGGTAACATTGTGTGCACATATATATGTCACATGAGGCAACAATGAATAATAAATGACATGACGTTTGTTTAGAATCATGTCCTTGAACCTGGACTGACAATCAGAACACTGATTATTAAGTAAACAGTATTACCATGTGAACAGAATATAATGATCAATTATAAAGACAAAAAAACAACAAGGATATATTTTTGGACCTAGACTAGTGGTAAATATAATATTATATTACTCCCTTGTGTTTTTAGTAGCATGGTCAATCTGCGAATAACGTACGATAAAAAATAAAATGAAGAGTATTTTGATAAAATTCCATTCTATCAGCCCATGGCATTGTCATTGAAATATCGCCTTCATTAAAAGGGTATTAATACCTAATAGAAAGGAATCTCAAGGTATGTTATGAACTTTTTTTCAATTTGATGGAACACTATCAGCGATATTTACGAGACGCTAAGCTTGTTGATTTTGTACCTGTGGTAAAATATGTTTATTTTATATATTTTTATTGATCATGTTGTATAAACTACACAATTGTTTCATGTGTATACAACTTTTGGTTTCTTAATTTATTCAGAACATTGCCTTCGATATAGGTATTTAATATAAGTTGTAATATCGCACTGAAAAAGTTATTTATCTCTGTGATTTCTATCTCTACTGATTAGTACAATAAAACGTATAGTTGACTTGTTGTTCGTAATATCAGGCCAAACCTATGAAATATATGTCACGCATACATTGTACTTCGGTATACAGGGCCTTGTGCGAGTTAACCTTACACTCGATACAGTTGATGCTCATAAAAACAATAAAGACTTCACAACGTTGACAAAAACTTTTACTTTACAAATAGCACACAATGAATTTGAAACGAAAAAAAATAATACCGTAGGCACACGTGTATATGCAAGGAAAATGTTGTGTATTTTGTAAATAAATCACATATTATAATTAAAACATAACAATGATATCATTATTATAATGATTACTAGAAAAGCGAAGTAAGAAAGCACCTATTAAAACATGTAGTCTCTCGATGGAAATTGATTTTACTATATTCATTGTAAGTAAAGACAAATCTTTATACATGAGGTATGATTTAAGAAAAAATAAAAAGTTTAGAGTGTGATTTGATTGGCTCACATATTCATATTTGAGACATAATATAAATATATATATATTATTTTCGTTGCAACATAGAGGGGCCGTGGTTAAGGCGTCTGACATTCTGCTACCACTTGCCCTCCATCACTGGGTCGCGAGTTCGAGACCTACGTAGGGCAGTCGCCAGCTACTGGCCGTACGTCGGTGTTTTTTCTCCGGGAACTCCGACTTTCCTCCACCACCACCACCACCACCACCACCACCACCTGGCACGTCCGTAAATGACCATAGCTGTTAATAGGACGTAAACACAAACAACCAACCAATTGCATTAACACACTCTGTGCACTCTTACCAGGCCAACAAGATTAAGTAATATAAGTTGAAAAAAATTGTGGTAGAATACAGTTTATATTTTTACAGATGACTAAGTAAAATTAAATTTTGTCAATAATGTATATTATTAAGATGCCCAAAGGTCTGTATCGGTTGCTTTCGTAAATACGTAATGGTTAAAGGATTAAAAAAGTCCTTTGGGAATGAAAAAGCTGTTGGATTGATGTTGGATTATTTCATTTATTTGAACAGGCTAGATAGCTCTTCCCTGCTTTGAAACACATAACCATACATTTAACTACAATTGACGGAACATTACAGAAATCGTCTGAAAACAAATGTTATCCATGTGACATTAAATAAAAACCAAGGTTTTTTTCAATTGTTTCGATCGTATTCTCAATTGAAAAACAATGAATGTTAAAGCGTACTGCATCTAACAAACTTCAGACTGCTATTCATCAGCTTTAGATCTTGACAATAATGTTCATTCGTTTCTTCTCAATTGGATAAAATATATATTTGTTCTGAGAACTGATTAACAAAAGCCAAGACTTTGTATCCCAAGGGTGTAAAACCTACGAATTTGAACGAACATGATCATGATAAATTCAGTGTCAACGGAAACACAATGTATATGTACTAGGGCCAAGCTGTTCAAAGTATAGTTAGCCTAACATCAACTAAACGCAAAATTTTAAATAAGTTATACTTCCAATATATTAAATTAAAAAAAAATTGTATGTATAACGATTCATGATTATTTTATGACAAGAATCATAAAAAAGACTTGCAGTTTTGTTTCGCATTTTGTCTGAATAAATCTCAAAAATCACATTTTGAAAATTAATTTGGAAGTCTCATTAAGCTTCCCATACTTTGAAAAACGCGATTTCTTGTGCATTTTTTCCCCAAATTTAATCTTGTTTTATTGTTTGTACCGTAATGGACTTATGATATATATTTTGTCCTGACTCTCTTCTTTTCTCCCCCCAGAAATAATAAGCACAATAACGGTATGGCGAATGGCAATTAAGATAACATAAAACTGTTTTATTAGTAGGTGTAATGCAAATTGTTTTAATTTTCATTTTGGCAAACATGGAGTGCAATACACTTGTTTGTACTGCAAAGTTTAATATTTTTTAAACATATTAGTAATATTGTCAAGCAGTATTAGCAAAATGAAATTCTATAGCGACATTCTTTGAGCAGATAAATAAGCGTTCTTTTGTAGTATTGAATCACAGTTTGCGATAAAACAATGCTTATTCTGTAGCAGTAATACGAATAGTTGGTGTAATCCTGCATCTATCACAAAGACAGGTTTGACATACAAAACGCACAGTATGTCATTACATTTCTGACCCTTAGCACGAACACCCGTCATATGACGGTTTGTGACCATTCATCCTTTATAATATACAGTGACCAGAATAATTTACAAGTTGATCAATATGACCCGTGACTTGCAAACATCATCTTATGCCTTAGATCCGTTGTACTGAATGACCCAATGTGCTGAAGGATCTGAGACAGACACTGTCCGTCCCTGTATCCAGCCAAACCACGTGTCTGACATGCTCATGAAGTGGACTGGCCACCGTCTAGTGGAGAGCATATACACAGCGTCTTTGTCCTCGACATTGAAGATGTTCCACTCGCCTTCCTTACCAGGCCTGCCCGGCCTCACTTCCACCCACTTCTTATCGCCACCTCTCATCACAACATACATATCCTTCTGGCCTTGGGGGCTTATATAGTAACACGTGGAATCCGCCTTCTTTAGTAACACAAAGTTGTGTTTGGTTTTGTTCAGTGATCTTTCTGAAGGGGATTTCGAGGCACGAAGACATACAGCTGGTTTTGTGTCGTGTGTTGCAAACCAGTTCATCCATTTCATAGTATTCATGGCTACCGGCACTTTATCTAGGTTTTCGGGTGCGTGGAAATTGGTGCAATCTTCCATGAATTTGCAGGTGAAAGGCCAGTGGTCAGGGTCAAAGAACGAAGCGAACCGGACCTGGGTCTGGTTAGGAAGCACCAAAGATTTAACCAAGTTCCTATCTCGCTCGTGCTCGCCTTCCAGTCCTGTTCTGATACCTTCTGCCAGGCGGTCAGAATGTCCAGAATATCTGAGCATGGCGTAAAGTTCCAACATAACGGCGTCACGGAGAATAGCCAGGTGACAGTACATGTCTATGTATTGGATAATTCTCCGGCTGTGTGTGGAAAGAGCTTCCTCTGACAATGTTTCCAGATCGTTTTCCATCAAAACCAAAATCCTTGACTCTAATTTCCCTAGGGCTTTCACGCCGGCATTAATGTCAATGAGATGAATTAAATCAGAAATTTCACTTCTGTTCGGGCGATTCTCCGAATCAGAATTCACACCAATAAGAACGTTGTGAGCAAATGCAAACACTCGGCACGTACTGTCAGCATTGGTTTTGATGATGGCATCTTCGTGAGCATCTAGGGCGTCCGATATTACCTTAGCCAACATACCAACGGTGTTCGTCCCCTTAAAACCGTCAGGACCCCTTACATTACCAGACGGTGTGTCTCGATCTGAAGACACTAAAATGGAAGTAATACACTTAGCAAATTCCCTCGCGGGGGGTCCAAAAATGGGAACTAACTCACGAATGGCAGACAGGACGGAAATCAGTCCTGTCAATTTTTTCGCATAGTTCGGGTCAAACATATCCTTGACACCAAGTCCGATACGGCCAATTTGAATAAGCACTGTTTGCAAATTGCCTCCATTTACCGACTCGTTTACCAGTATCTGAGCTAGGCCATCGGTGACGTTTTCTTTACCCACACTTTTCCCAATCTGCTTTAGTTTTTCCAATACTGCTGCTTTCTCTGTCATGATGAGTCAAGTGTATTCTGAAAACAATGAACATTGAATTGCATCTTTCATGCCAAACAAAGGTAGTATTATATCGAATGTAGCTAATACTGTTGCATTTCATTAATTTTTAATTTTCTGCTTTATTTAAAGGCACGATAAAAAGACAGCTTTTAGTTACATAAGAAATGCACACTTCACCTTATATTTCGATAACAAAATATGACGCAGCATGAATAATAAAATAGGTAAATACATGCAAACAGAGAATAAAATCAGTTAACATTCCAAATACATTTTCCTCTCATATTTACATAAACAAGCGTGCAATTCCTTAATTTCTGTAGCAATTCAGTGGACATATCACAAAGGTTCTCATGAAGTTATCAAAGACCAGTCTCTGTGTCGTCAGTCCGGAAAGAAGAACATAACACACACATGTAATAGTTCCTTTACATATACACCATGATACAGCTGTTTCGTATGTTATAGGAGCTAGAGCAAGAAAAGCTATAACAATACTGTGGGCAATAACAAACTGGCAAATCACAAACACTGATTCTATCACATCTGCAATGTAAGGACCGTTATTGTTTTAAACTAACCATGTTTAATTGGACAATAAAACATGTCATGCCAAGCTCTTCCAAAACCTCCCAGTATAACTAATGTAAACGACTGAGTCATGGGACTGGTTTCCTTTGTTGAGTAAGAGTGCAAGCATGTGTTTAGCATATTACACATTTGCTAATGAACAAAGAAGTTCCGATTTACCTAAAGATCAACTGAAAACCTGTTGAGCTCACAATAAAAAATGTTCAGCCAAATGTATCATGACTTGAAAGATTTCATGTTTTGACGAGCGATATCGATAGAATATTGATTGATTGGTTTTGTTTGATTCAAAATTAAAGATATTAAACGAATCACGACGTTAGTGTTTGTTTTGCCAGGTCGAAAAACTAAATGGCGACTGTAAATGAGACTTATTGTATTTCAGACCCATAATTGTAGACATGGTTTTTCTTCAAGGCGAGTTGTGCCAAGTTGTTGACTTTCTCTAGCAATAAAAATCGCTCGACCTGCTCTGGGTTAGGGATCACGCTCAGGCAGCGGGTGCATGCGTATTTGGTTCTTATCAACTCTCGTATGTTTTTGATAAATCCTTAAGTTACGAGGCATATGCATATATAATCCTTTCCAAATTGTTCAAGTCTACGCTCCAGTATTCTATAGTCATGATATCATAACCCTGTCTATTGATTAACAAGGAGACTTTGAAAATGCTTTAACCCATAAATAACTCCTGTGACCTTTAAAGTGGGTTAGAATAATTTTGTTGTAGAAAAAATTGATACCGTTTTATCACGTTATGTTAAACATACGATTGATAACCTTTCATCCCAGTATGTTACAGGAAAAGTATTAAGACTAGAAGTCCTAAAGTGCCGCTAAGTATTAAAACATGACTTTGGACACGCGTGACCTTAAAAGTGCATTTGAATCAACTTGGTAGCCGTTCATCCCAGCATGCCTCTGGCAAACATTCGGGGGAGTATGTGACGTTGAATTTTGATCAAGGTCGTTCAAGTGAACACATATAATAGCCCTTCACCCTGGTAAGTAGACTGGCCCCCGTCTCTAGAATATTATTTAGATGTTTAATTATTTAGAGAAAGAATAACTGTAGTAATTTTGATCACTTGAATGTCTAATTCTATAGGTCTAAGTTCTAAACTAAGGGGAGATAATCTAGTAGTAAAATCTTAGGGGCTGGTAGCCAATCTTCTTGGCAAGCTTCATTGGTGTACTTGGAAACAATATACTACATGTCCACCTAGGCGTTTGTACGTATACAAATACTTTTTCTGTTGCTAGCATTTCGGCGAGGACTGTCTATGTTAAGTTCACGTTTACTACGCACTATAACACTCTGACAGCTAGAGAGAAATACAGGCTATAGTCAACGGGGTCGTACAAGATACAAGAAATTTTATTTATAGTCGTACAGGTATATGAAAGCAGAAACATTAGCCCTGAAGAGCTATTATTACGACAAAACATCAGAAAAAATATCACAGCAAGGTAACAAAGATATAAAACTACTATTGCTAAGTATGAGAGAATTTATTAAAAGTACATAGATAAGAGCAAGCACCTGGCTACCTCAAAGCGGAAGTACATTTAGTAAACAGCGACTAGATGGTATTAAACAGTACATTTTGTATTTTGTGACAACATGGTATCTTACCTAGCACTGAGTACGGTGTAACACTACGCTTGGTCCGAGGAAATGTACACAGATACTCCAGACGAACCGTGTCTGAGGAAACTTACACGGATACTCCAGACGAACCGTGTCTGCTCTCCCGCGATCTATACTCAACTAGGGTCCCTTTCATGTATCGGTTCAACCAGTTGAAACGGTTTAACCTGAAAGAAAACGACAGGCGGTGATATAAACCGAGGCTGACGTCAGGAATATTCAGCACGTGTAGATCGCAGGGTCCAGACATGTCTAATCGAAAAAAAATGCTAACTATTGCTAGTTTGCGTTATTTCTTTGTGAAACCAGGTCAATCCACATGTAGATTTTTAAGAAACGTTTTATAATTTAGTGGACGTGTGGAAGAAGGACATATTAATCTTGATGTATTGATATTTATTCTCCGAAATTGTGTAATTTTAGCTCTGTCTACAGTTCGGTCCAAATTCGTTCATTTATAGTGGAGTATTCCTGCGCCAACTAATCCGTTTCAACCGGGATACGCGAATGCGACCTATGTATATATAGGTTGCACGTCACGGAAACAGATATCGCTTCCTACACAATATTTACACAGTGTATTGTAACACGGCTAACATTTGTATTATTCGTGGTAACAAAGAGTATGGCATTCTTATAACAGCTTCTCTACAGATGAATGTTAGTTAATGTTTTAGTGATGTTTAGAAACGACGTTTTTAACGAGTACATTTTGAAAAAAAAATCTTCTTTTCGTTTGGTTTTGGTTTGTTTATGTTTTACGTTCTATTAACAGCTGTGGTCATTTAAGGACCTGCCAGGTTTTGGTGGTGAAAGAAAGCCGGAATTCCCGGAAAACCCCCCACAGACCTACCACGGCCAGAACCTGGCAACTGTCCTCGAACCCGCGACCCAATGGTGGAGGGCTAGTGGTAGCAGAACGTCCCTGCTTTTCAATTCTAACAACTAAATAATTAACAGGGAATAAGTCGATTCATTCGACGCTTTGCTACGTTTTCTTTTAAACCGTTTAATTTTAGTCTGCATGCGTCGCAGAACCTACATCCACTTATGTTAATCAGGGACAATCCTAGAATTTGAGTCATTTCAGCAATTTTTGGTAAACATCAAAATTAAGAGGGGCCATTCTATGTATAATTAAAAGAATACTGGGAAATGGAGGGGTCAGTTTCAGTTTTGAGGGTTCAGTGGCCCCATCAGTGGCCCCATAGCCCCCTCCAGGATTATCCCTGCACTTTTTCGTGTGCATATAAATGAAATGGTTTGGTATGTAGAGATGTTTGGTGTATGATAATAACATTAAACTCGCATCATTTCAGGGAAACGTGTAATATTTTCCAACTCACTTTTAAAGTCAGATATGTTCTCTCTTTTGTTTGGCAGAACCAATAATAAACTTGGTTTTAGATTCGAACCAAACCTTACTATGAACGTAACTATTTGGTACCTTTAACAGTTAACAGTTACGTATCAAAATGGCACCAGGCCACGCGCCTCGTATGTAAACACCTATCTAAATACAAAATAATGTCACGTGTCATGGTATCTTATGTATTTCATCTCTTATAAGGCCAAACTTAAAATATTTGGTGTTTCTGGTAAACCTATACTACCTCAGGGATAATCCTGGAAGGGGCCATGGGGCCTTTGACACCTCAAAACTGAAATGGACCCTCCTTGTTTCAATTTTCTTTTAATTTTACGGCATAGAATGGCCCGGCCCCTCTTAAATTTGATATTGTCTAAAAATGGCTGAAAATGGCCAACTGCTCTCAAACTCCAGGATTTTCCCTGGTAACTACTCTATTTTTTTGTGCTTATCCTAAACTTTTTAAGGCAATTTTCAAAGAAGCACAGTTAAAGTCCTGACCAATCTCCTATATATATAAACCACATAAAAGTATTTAAAAGACCAAAACTTGTTACCTACAAGTAGATCTACTTCCTATCTACCATATTTTTTCCAACATGTTACAGGAAATACATATAATTTTTGTCTTGTCTAGGTAATGGTTCAGTACATGATCTCTAGCTTTGCACAAGAGTAACACAGATGCAACATATTTATACAATAATTCTGCTCGATATTTGAGTAAGTGGCAACATACAATTAGAAATTTGTGATAAACACTCACTTTCGAGTTATCTATTGTTGAACGAGCAACAGGGTTTTCGAAAAGTAAATAATAAAAGGCATGTTTTTCTTTATGATGTAATTATTAATTTCTTTGATATTCGTTCGGCTCTTGATATGTTTTAGGCCTAATAAGTGTTACAGGTACACAGCTTTTTTAGACTTATAACCACATAGGGCCTACATCAAAATTCTACCGTTTATCCTTTTTAAAGATGATTCTTGGCCATCCTCATTATTGTACTGGATACATTAACTAGTATTCTAATTGCAAAGACGCACACGAACGCGAGTAAGTAAACAGCAGTGGAAGTCGACATGTCTTGATTAGACTACCCCCCCCCCCCTCCTTAATACCGGATCTACCCATGGTACACATCGTAACCTGGAACATTATAACATGTCTTTCTTTTCATGAAATGAGAACAACGCCAGGTTAAAAAGAAAATCAAACATTAAATTTTTTTATTACGATCAACCGATAAACTTGTGAAAAAATACTTTCAGACTACAATTATCAGCAATACAAAGTAATGCTAATCAAAACCGAAATACCAACCACAGTCACCTGTCCATGGACTGCAAACATCATAGGAATTCCTAGTTGTTAGGTTAAATCAGAGACGTATAATACACGTCTCTCACCTCTAATTTTCGTAAGTGTAACACGTCTACTAGATTGGTAATGTTCAACGAAATGACGTGTTTGAACGGAACAAATTATCTGAATCAAATATACGCGCCTAAAATCTCAGGCTAACAGTTTCCGGTGCGTTCGATTAATTCTACATCCGGTTAATCTACATACGGCACGTATCCTTTCCGGTACACGATATCCTCCTTGCAGGCTATGAACGTGTTAGAATGCTTTTCCACTGCTTGCCAACATGTTGATTTAGTAAGTTACAAGATGTATAACTGTAGATCCATGTTATTGCCATAACTAGATACTAACTGTTATCAATTCGAAGAAAAGAATCAGTTTGTGTATACCGTAGTTACTCTAAAAATGGGGCCTGTCCGGTATCGGTGTCAATAATGAAATGTCATTCATGTTGCAGTGACTGGCAAAATACAAAATGTTCCTAAAATACAACAATACGTATATTTAAGTTAAATAAGATTTTTTTTAATCGTAGATTTTTGTGGTAATAAGTGTAAAAGATGTGGATTAATTAGGTTGCCAAGTACGTGCGTCAGCTGTAGGGAATTCCCTTATAAGCTCAGCGGTAAAGCATCGGGCTGGAGAGCCAATGGTCGCGGGTCAAGCCCCAGGAATGGCACTATCTTTATCACTATTCCTCATCCTATTACATAAGTCCGACATACAGTAACTGTATTTACATGAACATTCCCATGAAGTTGCATCTAAGAATTGATAATTGCAAAAAGGTAACTGCACTCATATACGACTTAACTATAGGAAAACTGTTATTATTTATAGAACAGGAGGCAATTGTTTGTTTATAAAAATAGTGTATGTTTCTGATAGGTTTGATGTGCATTTCACCACTTACTCTCTATTATCAAGCAAAATGTTGTGTTGTATCTCTTTGTAATTCTACACTGACAGCTAAAAGTCGAATAAATATGAATTGATACCATTTGCGTAAGGTAACATTAGATATACTACTTTAGTGTAAAACAAGATGATTAAACATATAATAAAATTCAGGATATCAACACTATTTTGAGATGTACGTTCCAAATAGTATCAATTCATTTGATCATAATTCATGTAATTTTAAAACTAAATTAGAACTTCAACATAATTATTCAGTTAGATAATGATATATTTGTCTCTGGTTATCAATAAACATATATGAAACTACTTACATAAAAATCTAGTTTTAAAATTACATGAATCTATACGTCTAGAATACATCTCTCACTCTGTGTTCTTCTTCTCCTTCTTCTGATAAATGCGACAGAACTCATAGGTTACAGTGCAATTGCCGTAATCAGGTGTTCTTGGAGGTGGCATTTATGAAATAACACATTTTTAAAAAGATTTGTTTGGAAATGAAAATGATACATGGCAACAAATGTAGGTTAAAAGAAAGTATATGTTTTATACTGGCAAAAGGCAATTTTTGTGCAGGCAAGGCAAGTGAGTGGGCAACCCCCACCGACAATACCTACACAGTCGTCTACCAGTATTAGGGAAGGGAATGGGGGATAAAATTATGTACAGCTCGGACAAGATTTGGCTCTAGCAGAAGGGGGTAGTTATGGGTTGATAGTCAGACAGAGTTGTTTTGAATGCTATATGTTCAGGTAGTGAATTCCATGTTCTAATAGTCATAGGAAAGAATTAATTTCTGAATTGGTCATTATTAGTGTTAACCAATCTAAAAGAAAACATGTACCTTTCATGACTAAATTAAAAAACATTCTACATGACTCTGTTAATTTTTTTTTCTATGTTCATAGACTAGAGAGATCTTACGTGTGATGTCATACTGACATAGGGCAACTGTTAAGAGAATTAGAGAAGAGACTATTCTATGTTAAAGACAATCAAAACTCAACTTAATAAATCCAGGTAACGTTGCTATACTATATATATCCAATAATTTCCAAATATTTTTTTTTATCAAAGAAAGGCTATTTTTATGGAATTATTTAAAATGCCTTATATAAATTAACAAATATTCTACAGTAGTTAATATTCCTGCAACCTTTTTTTTCACTAAAATTCATAAGTAATTGTCTAATTATTAATTAATATCAAATTACAACCAGTAGCTACGTATACAAAGCTCCAACATGGCAGTCAGATTCCTCTTGTAGGAGCATTAATTCTCTTTTGCCACAACATAAGAAAAAAAGTCGGTTTAAATGTAGTTTATTGAAAGAGAAATTAATTAATTAATACGGTCCTGGCTCTAAATTATGAAATCTCTCAAATGAAATAAAAAATGAAGTCTTAATAATGAACAGATTTATATGAGATACATAATAGTATTATTACATTAAAACTGTTGATAACCAGCAACTATCAATCAATTTTAGGAATAGAAGTGACCAGCCATGGTGTTGACTGGGAAACAGATTGTGGTGCTGACCAACTTGTATGTGAGCTATGCCCTCTATGTTTACGTGCGACGGTCATTCTCCTTTGCCATGCCTACGGTATCGGAGACTGCTAATCTGGACAAGAGTCAATTAGGTAAGTAAAATGTACATTAAATATATGTACCAGTAGCCTATTGGTTCCTTCAATGTAAAAAGTTAGGCTTTAGAAACATTGGAGAACTTCTATGTTCTGATGCTGAGACGTGGTGGTAATGTGTGGTTAAGGCGTCTGACGGTCTATGATCGCTAGCCCTTGGTGACTGGGTCACAGGTTGAGGGCCTATATAGGGCAGTTGCCAGGTAACTGCATGGCCACATGTTAGTTGCTTTTTTCTGGGCAATCCTGTTTTCTCCACCACCAAAACCTGTCGCATCCTAGTATAATTACACTTTCTATTTAGTGTAGTATAATTACACTTTCTATTTAGTGTAGTATAATTACACTTTCTATTACGTGTAGTATAATTACACTTTCTATTTAATGGAGTATAATTACACTTTCTATTTAGTGTAGTATAATTACACTTTCTATTTAGTGTAGTATAATTACACTTTCTATTTACTGGAGTGTAATTACACTATCTATTTAGTGTAGTATAATTACACTTTCTATTTAGTGTAGTATAATTACACTTTTTATTTAGTGTAGTATAATTACACTTTCTATTTACTGGAGTAAAGTTACACTTTCTATTTAGTGTAGTATAATTACACTTTTTATTTACTGGAGTATAATTACACTTTCTATTTACTGGAGTAAAATTACACTTTCTATTTAGTGTAGTATAATTACACTTTTTATTTACTGGAGTATAATTACACTTTCTATTTAGTGAAGTATAATTACACTTTCTCTTTACTGGAGTATAATTACACTTTCTTATTACTGGAGTATAATTCCACTTTTTATTTACTGGAGTATAATTACAGTTAGTTTGTCATCAAATTTGATCCACGTGCTCGAAATTCAAATATGAGAGTTATTTAAACTCACTTGGTAATTCTAAAAATAGAAATCCTAATCAATATCATGATCATGAGAGGTCGCTAATGTATTGTAATGTAACACAAAAAAAAACAATCACCAACAACTACATCCTTGTAAAATTAACATATTTACTTTATCAGGTATGATTCTGAGCAGTCAGTCACTGGCCTACACCATCAGTAAGTTTGGGTGTGGTATTCTAGCCGACATTGTCAGCCCCAACATTTTGCTGTCAGGTGGCTTGATCTTATCCGGACTAACAGCAGTATGTTTCACAAGTAAGTATTCATATTCAAATTTGTAAATTGCAAAAAAATAAAGGCAAGTAAAGGCAGGTATTGATATAATTATAATGAAAAATGGAATGAACACAGGTACAAATTCGGGCTGCAACGATATATCACAATATTTTGATTATGGTACGATACACTACATTGTTTCGGGAGGTTACGATACACTTACGATATTTTCAGAATTTTGTTGTTTCTAAATTTAGTTTAATCATATGGGTTGCAACATGGGGAATGAAACCTCCAGCTCAGTATGCGCGTCAAAGGACGTGATTTGTGAGAAACTTAATAAAGTCTTATATTCCCAGTTGTAATAGTGTCATTAAAAAATTACAACATATCTTTTCTCTTTGCTTTTACTGTTACTATATTATGTATCGTAATAGATATCCTATCGCAACCACAGTATTGTGGTACGTATCGTAACGTCATTCAATGTATCATAGTGCAAAATATATATCAGTAAAAGATATACAAGAATCACTATGGCAATATACAGGAATTATAAAAATATAGGTTTAATTATCAATACAATAAATGCAATTATTGAAATAACTCTGATTTTGTTAATTTTCAGCAACCACATCTGCAGTGATAATGAGTGCGATATGGTTCCTGAATGGTCTCGCCCAGGGACCAGGTTGGCCAGCGATAGCTGTCTGCCTTAAACATGTAATTACAGATTATTGAAATTTACTTTTCTAATAAAAAATGGTGAAAAGGCTTTAAAGACAATTGCAATATCTTCCACCACTTTTGTTTTAGCAAACATATACACATTCCTTTACTTGTAAGCGGTTTCCTATAAATGATTTAAGGGTTTATGTCACCTTTATTATCTCCTTTACTAAAGAGTTCAGCACTTTGAGACAGGAGTCATAGTATATATATAATCTAATTGCTATCAAGGAGAATACAAATACTATATCTAGCAACAGTAAACAATTTTTTATTAAATATATTTACTGTTGCATCCTCCAAACCATATTTTTCAAATGGGATTTAGCTCTTTGCCTTTGAATGCTCATGTGCACTATGCAGATGTACGCAAATTAGTTACAGGATCACAGTTGTAACTCCTGTCATAATGTTTTCATCTTGTATAAGGACTCACCGTTACTTTCTAGTGATGTACAGTACATATTTTTTGTTTTTATTTCCTTTTTTATTGNTTGAGTATGACATTGTATATTATGTAATTTGTATATTATGTAATTTGTAGGTTATGTAATTTAAATTTGTTTTAACATTTCGTTATTGAAATAAAACCTCAATTAACATATTGCATTTAGATGTATCTGTAATACACCAATACACATTGAATTCAAAATCTAAATCGTTTAAGGGGATTTACTCTTGCTCAAGTTAAAACCTTTCTGTTGATGTAGTTGTGTGCCCCGGAACAGTTCGGGTCAGCGTGGAGTGTGGTGTCCACGTCAATGAATGTGGCCGGTATGGTTGGGCCTCTGCTGACCACAGTGCTGATTGCCCAGTCAAACTGGCAGACTTGTATTCAACTTGCAGGTAACCAGAACATTGACAGTGGTTTTATTTCTATAGCTTACATTGCATAATGTAAAGATGTATAAAAAATAAAAATTACAAAAGAATTTAGTTGGCTAGTATTAAGGATAAGAGAACATTTTAAATGCTTTTGGAAAGTTTGATTTTTGAAAATTTAATAATTTCTTGTCTGTATAGATCAAATAAAAGAGATAAGTTAGGAATACATATTTGAACCCATTTCTGTTTCAATAAATTATTATTAAATTCAATTTACAGAGTATATTCCCAAGTTCATTTGTTTCGGGTTTTTATATCCTCTTAAATTCTAATGCCACCTAATAAATGTATTGGATTCAAAGTATTTTTTGCTGTGAACAACAAAAAAACATGACAAAAGATTCTTATGTATCCAAGTTCATATAGCAAAACCAGTGAAAAGAGTATGAACGATGTTTCATTGACGTAAAGGATGTATATTCTTTCACCTTCATCAGAAAAATGACAAATTTATACAATGTACAAAATAACAAATTGATGGTTTGGAGCACCTGTAGATGTACAAGAGTCAATGGGCCCCCTCATCACGATTCATTTTAACACCATAGTGTTCATAAGGATAACAGAAAGCATATCATACAGTATCCAGTCAGTGAAACATCACACTACTGGTAAAACGTTTCACTGATTTTGATATGATTATGAATTTGTATACTACATGTTTATATTTACCAACCTGAAGAAAATGTTTGGATATTAAAAACATGTTTTATTTTTAGATTTGAATTTGTTCTAGTTTATGATTCACTGGACATCTTAATATAAAAATGTTAACATGACCCACTGAAATTGTTAATGAAACATTAGAAAATTCTTTAAGTAATTCTTTAAGTAATTACCGTATACATTCCTTGTATCCAAATTTTTCAATTCTAAATTTTTGATCAGAAACTTTAGTATCTAGAATCACGGGATTCCACAATTTAAAAAAAAGTGAAGTTTGAAGAGATAAGGATTGATTTTTCAAAAGTTTGATTCTTAAATGATGATTGTTTTTGCAAATATCTAGAAAGTTGTGGTAACCATCAATGTTACTGTCTTTCAGTAATTAATTCAAGAAGTAAAAAAAATCAAATAAAAAAAAGGAAATATACCCAATTAATCATATATGTATATACTGGTAATATTAAAACATCAAATAGAAATAGTTTTCTAGTGTTTCTCAGATTTACGAGTATAGTAAGTAATATTTTCTGTTCACATGTACGTTTTATATCCTAGCCATTTCTCTAGTACCCAAGCCTACTCCTAACTGTTTTAATGTTATTTACTAAAGAGTGTGAATCAGTTTACACAGAGTTATAACACCATTAGGAGTGTTGATCACAGCCAGAGTTTGTTAATTAATCTGTAACTCTTTCAACCCAATGTAACTTAAGTAAGCTCTACCATGCCTTGATCTGGATGAGTCAATTATGGTCCACAGTGGTGAAAGGGTTAAACATTTTAAACAAAATGATAAGATATGCCTGGTAAATAGTGTTGGGATTAATTAACCCTTAATTATGATTAATCTTTGGTTATAAACGTCTTGTTACTGTATCGTAACAGGAGAAAGAGAAAATGTAACGGCCAGACCGGGTCTCGAACACTGGACTCTCCGAACTCTAGACGGACGCTCTACCAATTGAGCTACCTTGTCACCGATGTATGACCCAGTTCACTTACACTACATATACCACCCTCCTATTTCTAAGTCTTCGCCCCTGAAGACACAACTGTTTACAACCCAAATTTGAGTATCCCCTTGTTAAGTGTACTCCCAATGCTTGAAACAAGAGTTAGCAAGCTTAAGCTTGCCAATTTTGTAACAGGAGAAAGATGTAACGGCCAGACCGGGTTTCAAACCTAGGACCCTCCGAACTCTAGACGGAAGCTCTACCAATTGAGCTACATACCTGTTTGCCGATGATCACCCAGTCCAGTTCGGCTACAGTATAATGGGATTGAGATCTATGTCTTATACTTAACAAAGAGTTTATTATCTCAATTTCATTATATAATATATAGTAATCATTTTACCTTCAGGTTGAGGTTGTGTGATTAATTTTAAAGTTTTGTTATTTCCTTAGAATTTTGGTTAACTAAAGGCTTATTTGATAATTTTGAACACAATTAAGTTATGCTTTAGAGTTTGCTAGTTTCCTTCGGAAAAGCTCAAACATTTTCCAAACTTACAACTATTTCATGAATTTGTAATTGTTATATCTGGAATGGATTATATTGCATATATGTTCTCCACCATTGTACAAGACATTTATGAACTATTGTTCAATATGTATATTTCTATATGCCTATATGCAATGTGCATTTGGTAATAAAATTGAATTGAATTGAATTGTATACTTTAACCAACCAATCTACCGAATGGGAAATTCCTTCTAGCGTAAAGTTGGTAGGCGACTGTAGTCCCATGTACAATTAAAATCTGTCACAAATATAAAAGTTTACTCACATCAGTGAAACTCCCAACACAGTCAGCACCTGAAGTGTGTATGTAACCCAAGTTAATATATTTTTTGGACCACAATGGTCAAAACAAAATGAAACATGTTACGAAATATAACTAAAACAATGCCAGCATCACTCATCAAAATCACACGTAGCAACATTATTGTAGGAAGTTTGATAAACAAAATAAATCATCGGTGCTTGCATTTTCTTCATCGTTTCACAGAAATCATTCAAAAGTATGATCTTTAGGTGATTTCTTTAGATATTTCATATACCCACATAAATCTAAGTTCTATCTTGAAAAGTTGACATTTAAACCTTTACTCTCTAACTCCCTTTTGTTAACTCTCTCTATCTAGACTAATTAGATTGTGTTGACAAAATCTCTTTGTAACATTAACATCTTACTGTTTTCTTGACAAGAATTTAAATATTTACAAATTAAGGTACATTGATTATTGTTCATCTGCTCATCAATGGATAAAAGTGAAAGGAGCTGAGTCAACCCAAGTTGGGATGGAGCTCGCTATGGGTCTGATTTTAGGTTAATGAATTTTGTTACTTGTCTTTTTCTTTCAATTGAGTACCTGATTGACCAGCTGACAATTAAAGTGACAGTCCTTATTTTAATTTGGTAACGAGTATATTAAAAAATAAGTTTTAGGCATACCAGTCCTAAATATTGATTTTTTTTCTCTGCAGGATTTGTATCAATCAGTTTCGGGTGTATTACATTTTTCTTGGTGAAGACTGATCCAAAAAGCAACTCCACGACACCAACTTCACCAAACCGTGACAAGTCGTCACCAAATGAAGGTAGGTTACAGGTAACAGTAGTGATGGGACGATGATTGACAGGGATCGATGAATGATCCTTTGTCACCTTTCAATGCCGATGATCAAAAGATAGTGAAGGGGTGATCGAGCCATGTGCAGTTTGCACATATTTTGGAAAATTAGTGTACAGAAACTATCCCGGGTGCAAAAGTTACCCAACACCATACAAGTACTTCAGTTTTCACACTTCAATAAATTATTAGAAATATTGTGAAAAGATTTGTGTAACACAACCAAAGTGTGTTTCTATGTCACGTTTCGATGACTAGTACGGTATGTATTCTGTCACCAGATAAATAACCAGTGAAGCGTATGTACACAAAGGTGTAAAATATATGTACGAGTTGTCCACAAATCAATGTCGATCTGGCTATGCAGTAAGCGTATGTACAATTAGTTGTCATATGTACCGAAACGACTCAATTCAGCTATATGCTTTCTGAGAAAGATTATTATAAATTCAACAGTCTTAAAGTCAGTTAGTAACTTTGACGAATGCAACGACTGAAAATTATCTTTAACATTGTACATGTTTTGCCCAATTTATTTTTGCGAATGTAACACCCTTTGTGTATGATATACAGGTGAGGACCTTTCTAGGTGGCAGCTCCTGTTCCTACCCGGCTTCCTGGGAGTTTGCCTGAGTATGATGGCCACATCTGTTGTCCAGTACGGCACATTGAACTGGACACAGCTATACATGGTACAGGAGAGAGGGCTGACCCCTATGTCAGGTAAGTCACATTGTGTTGACAAGGTATGTCAATGTGTTGTTATAGCTGTGACATGTGTCACTGTGTTGACTGGTGATGTCAGTGTGTCATCATATATGGCATGTCACATTTGTATGTACTCACTATTTCTTTCTATATTAGATAATAGAAATTTCAAATTTATTGTATTACATTGATATTCTTTTACCCCATACAACAGCTAATAAAACTCTTTTTTTTCAAACGTTTTTCTGCAGCGTTTAGGTTTTGTATCTAAAGGGAGGTAATCTTGTCTTTCCGAAGTGATGGACCTTTTAGAATCTTTCACTTGAAAATATGTGGTAGGACTAGCTAGTAGGTGTGTAAATAGTACCTCCCAGCATGTAATTTATAGGGCAAATTGCTCACGTTTTAGAATTTATCAAGGAAGCTGCAATAACGTATTGACTCCTTACACAATGGACTTTATTGGTCATAGAAACACATGTTAAGATGGGGGACATAATTTTCTTGCTTCTCTCAAGAAACTTCTTTTCTTTACATAAATGTGATGTTTTGTCTGTATAGGCAGTGCCTTTGTAAGCAGTGAAGAACTAGGAGGGATTGTGGGGTCCTGTGTGGCTGGGTTCTTGTCTGACTTCCTTATCAGCAAGGTATGTCACACACAAAATATAATGTCTTGTAGTTACGAAAAAAACATAATAGCTTAAAATATTATTCTTTCTTTTGAAAATGTTTGAACAAGTTTTTGTCATTCCCCCAAGTGCTAAACGTTAAGCAGGGAATAACAACACCATTTTTAAGGACTTTGGTATGTCCCGGCATGGGGACAGAACCCATAGCCTTCCTAACCGGGGAGAAGAATACATCTGGTTTTAAATTTGATAATTTTATTTCATACTTTGAGATGAAACATCATGATTGTTTTCATATATTTTATATTTGATATCCCCTGTCTGCCTTCGAAAGTCAACATTTTTTCTACTGTGAAATAATATAAATGTATCAATCTCTTACATTCCAGAACCCAGGCGTGGCTAGACATTTGATGAGGCAGGTGGTGGTTATGTATTTTATGCTGTTCCTGACTGGGGTATTGTACTGGATCACATACAGTTTATCCTCTTCCACCTCACAGGTAAACCTCCTCTAGATCACATACAACTTATATTCCTCCACCTCACAGGTAAACCTCCTCTAGATCACATACAGTTTATCTTCCTCAACCTCACAGGTAAACCTCCTCTAGATCACATACAGTTAATCTTCCTCCACCTCACAGGTAAACCTCCACTAGATCACATACAGTTTATCTTCCTCTACCTCACAGGTAAGCCTCCACTAGATCAAATACAGCTTATCTTTCTCCACCTCACAGGTAAACCTCCACTAGATCACATACAACTTATCTTCCTCCACCTCACAGGTAAACCTCCTCTAGATCACATACAGTTTATCTTCCTCCACCTCACAGGCAAACCTCCACTAGATCACATACAGTTTATCTTCCTCTACCTCACAGGTAAACCTCCACTAGATCAAATACAGCTTATCTTTCTCCACCTCACAGGTAAACCTCCACTAGATCACATACAATTTATCTTCCTCCACCTCACAGGTAAACCTCCACAAGATCACATACAACTTATCTTCCTCCACCTCACAGGTAAACCTCCACAAGATCACATACAACTTATCTTCCTCCACCTCACAGGTCAACCTCCACTAGATCATTTAAAACCTATCTTCCTCCTCCTCACAGGTAAACCTCCACTAGATCTCACACAACTTATCTTCCTCCCCCTCACAGGTCAACCTCCACAAGATCACATACAACTTATCTTCCTCCACCTCACAGGTCAGCCTCCACTAGAGCACATACAGCTTATCTTCTTCCACCTCACAGGTAAACCTCCATTAGATCATTTAAAACCTATCTTCGTCCTCCTCACAGGTAAACCTCCTCTAGGTCACATACAACTTATCTTCCTCTACCCCACAGGTAAACCTCCACTGGATCATTTAAAACCTATCTTCGTCCTCCTCACAGGTAAACCTCCATTAGATCATTTAAAACCTATCTTCGTCCTCCTCACAGGTAAACCTCCCCTAGATCACATACAACTTATCTTCCCCTACCTCACAGGTAAACCCCCACTAGATCACATACAGTTTATCGTCTTCCACCTCACAGGTAAACCTCCACTAGATCACACACAACTTATCTTCCTCCCCCTAACAGGTAAACCTCCACTAGATCACATACAGCTTATCTTCTTCCACCTCACAGGTAAATCTCACCTAGATGATATGGCAAAGTTCTCAAAATATTCATGAGGGTTTTAATTTCATAAATTTTGACACATTCTGAAATTTTAAACCATGTGAATATTAGCAACTATGCAGTTATGTTATTTAGAGGAAGATGGAAGTTTACTGAGTAACCTTTTGTTGTCCTTTCAGTTGATGGTAACTATTATGGGATTTTGTACCGGATTTGGTGTCTATGGGCCTGTAGCCATATTTGGTGTTATAGCCCTAGAGAGTGGACCAGAAAATAGGGCAGGGACTTTACATGCAATATTTGGACTTTTCTCAAATGGTAAGTATTCATGAAGTATTGTTTTCAAGATTATATCAATCATTGGAAATTAGTTTGAAAACATTAATTTTTTAAACATTTTAAAATAAGTTGCACAAATGGATAGCATATCTTTATATTGATGAAATTTCAGTGTAAAGATTTTAGATAGAGTTTATCAGGGCGTATTCTTCTAAGAGACTTTTTTATTCACTCTCCCTCTCTGCTGAGATATTTTTTGGTCAGTATGGTCAATTAAACACTGAGTATTTGTAAAGAACTGTATTAATGGGGAACTAAAGTAACAATGCACCTTCTTAATAGTCTAGTGATCAGGGGATTACGTCACTATATTCCTGAAGTCAAAAGTTTAAATTTGCATATTTAATTGTGTTATTTGATAAAATGGTGACATAGGAAAGAATAGTGCAATCAAGGGCAGCAGCAGCAGCAGCAGTGTTGTACTGACAGCTCAGAGAACTTATGAAAATAGAAATGGAATCTATCCTTCCACAAGAATACCCATTTAAAAAAAGAATCACTAAAAGTATTTCTATGTGAAATTCCATTTAAATCAACACAAAACTGGTATACAGAACGTTGTGCTCTAATAAAATATCTCTAAATTATATATTTGTTTTGTTGTAGCCGGTGTGTTCATCTCGGGACTACCCCTCAGCTACATCGCTAAACTCTACGACTGGCAGACAGTGTTTCTACTTCAAAGTACACTAATCACCATGACATTTCTATATTTTATTCTTAAGCTACGAACAACGTTTAAGTCATCAAATCAGAAACTGTTTTACATATTCTAGATGTTTTCATCTGGTGTTGTTTTTTGTAAGGAATCTCTATGCAATTGTTCTCGAATATTAACTTGTTAATCAGATGTTAAATTGTTTCTTAAGAAATGGTCTCTTGTCTTGTTTTGAGATATATCAGATTACCTGCTGCATATTTTGAAAGTTGCTGTAAAAACAACTTTGGCACTATCTTCTATTAAATGACGTCATGCTTGACAAGACAGCATGTCGTTTTGGTTGGTTGACTCAACGCAACTCAACTGTTTTTTCAGCAAAAGTTATCTGGTCAGAATTACTTTATCAATGTTATCAGCTGTGTAGGTAAGAAAACATCTTTGTGTAGGTAGCGAAGATTTACAAACATAACCACTTATTTTGTCATAGCTTCATCTGCACCTGAACAGAAAATCAGCAGCTTTGAATGTGAAAAGAAATTTTAGATTAGCAGTTTCTATTGAACTGAAACAGATTACCAGTTCCTACTAAACAGAAACAGATTAACAGTTCCTACTGAACAGAAACAGATTAACAGTTCATACTGAACAAAAACAGATTAATAGTTCATACTGAACTGAAACAGATTAACAGTTCATACTGAACAGAAACAGATTAACAGTTCATACTAAACAGAAACAGATCAACAGTTCCTACTAAACAGAAACAGATTAACAGTTCATACTAAACTGAAACAGATTAACAGTCTCTACTGAACTGAAACAGATTAACATTTGATACTGAACAGACACAGATTAACAGTCCCTACTGAAACAGAAACAGATTAACAGTTCCTACTGAACTGAAACTGATTAACAGTTCCTACTGAACTGAAACAGATTAACAGTTCCTACTGAAGAGAAACAGATTACCAGTCCCTACTGAACATAAACACATAAACAGTTCTTACTGAACAGAAACAGGTTACCAGTCCCTACTGAACATAAACAGATTACCAGTCCTTACTGAACATAAACAGATGAACGAGTCGTGTTTAAACTGAACTAGATCAATGAGAAACTACTAAACTTAAACGGATGAATGATTAAACAATTATAAATGTTAAAAATAGTTCACTTAGAAGTATATATGATAACATTTAGAAGTGTTAGTTTCATAGTGCACAATAGTAATAGCAATGCCATCCTCGAAACGTGTTGAGCTCAATATTTTGTGTAAATAATTGTAATATCTTTTAAGAAAAATGTACGCGTAAACTAACATGGTACTCTTTATATGATATTTTTATACATATTTGAATGTTTAAAACGACATTTAAGTACACCTAACAAATGGACAGTTTGATCAATTTGATCAAATAATGCAAGTTACGTTAGGTATCCATAATAATCTCACCTGTAATTATCGTATGTAGTATATTGATTGTATATGCATGTGTATTAGCCATGACCATTTTCAACAGATCGTAAAACCCATATCGTTGAAAACCGTCAAAAAAAAGAAGTTCTTCCTTGTGCCTTCTCAAAGTTGCTCATGGGTGGTTTTAACTCAACTTATTTCTTTTGAGTAGTGACACGGATGATAGATGCACACCTTACTCTTTGAAATTACTGACCAATCCCCTCTCATTTTGCAATTCATATATTAAAAGGGTTTCACGTGCTTCCCTGTCTGTTTCGATAGTAGTTTAGGTACACCTTTTTGGTCGTCAACGATGAGTCTTAGAAAGACGAAACAGCTGTATGGTGCAGTCTAAGTCGTTTTTTGGCAGACTGAAACTGTTGCTAAATTTTAAAGGTGTATTCACTTGTGTGTACCTTTGTTTATCCTTTTAGGTCACATCAGTGACTGCAAAAACTCCAAATGCAGGACGTCCTTGCCCTGGAAAGATCCTGCAGAATATAATCAATAATCAGCATGTCTTTCCTTCTTTTGATTTCTCCTCAGTATCGTTTTTCATGTCGACTTAAAGTTAAGATTAAGTCGTTGTGTTTGACGATGGGGTATATTTTATCCGTTTGTGTTGACGGTGTGGTATATTTTGTCCATTTGCGTTGACGCTGTGGTATAATTTGTCCTTGTGTTGACGCTGTGGTATTATTGTCAATTTGTGTTGACGCTGTGATATATGTTGTCCATGTGTGTTGACGCTGTGGTATATTGTGTTCATATGTACATGTATTCGCGCTGTGGTATATTTTGTCCATTTGTGGTGACGCTGTGATATATTTTGTCAATTTGTGTTGACGTTATTGTATATTTTGTCCATTTGCGTTGACGCTGTGGTACATTTTGTCCATTTGTGTTGACGATGTGGTATAATTTGTCCATTTGCGTTGACGCTGTGGTATGATTTGTCCTTGTGTCGACGCTGTGGTATATTTTGTCCTTGTGTTGGCGATGTGGTATATTTTGTCCATTTGTGTTGACGTTATTGTATATTTTGTCCATTTGCGTTGACACTGTGGTATACTTTGTCCTTGTGTTGACGCTGTGATACATTTTGTCCATTTGTGTTGACGATGTGGTATATTTTGTCCATTTGCTTTGACGTTGTGGTATATTTTGTCCTTGTGTTGACGCTGTGGTATATTTTGTTCTTGTGTTGACGCTGTGGTATATTTTGTCCATTTGTGTTGACGATTTGGTTTATTTTGTCCATTTACGTTGACGCTGTGGTATATGTTGTTCTCGTGTTAACGCTGTGGTACATTTTGTCCATTTGTGTTGACGCTGTGATATATTTTATCCATTTGTGTTGACGTTATTGTATATTTGTCCATTTACGTTGACGCTGTGGTATATTTTGTCAATTTGCATTGACGCTGTGGTATATTTTGTCCTTGTGTTGACGCTATGGTATATTTTGTCTTTGTGTTGACGATATTGTATATTTTGTCCATTTGTGTTGACGCTGTGGTATATTTTGTCCTTGTGTTGACACTGTGGTATATTTTGTCCATTTGTGTTGACGATGTGGTATATTTTGTCCTTGTGTTGACGCTGTGGTATATTTTGTCCTTGTGTTGACGCTGTGGTATATTTTGTCCATTTGTGTTGACGCTGTGGTAAACTGTTCATTGTGTTTGGACACAGTGTATCATACCATTCATCCTCCTCTTCTGAACTAATGATTAGTCTTGCAAGTCATAGTTAAATAAACTGAAATAAAGACCACTGTCTAAGTAAATTGTTCAAACACCTCCACTCACCCTTTCCATATTCGATGAATTTGACTGCGTTATTTGTGCTCCAGTTCATTGTTTAGTTTGGTTTGGTTTGTTTGTTTTTTGCGTGCAAGGTTTTGGTGGTGGAGGAAAGCCGGAGTACCCGGAGAATTCTTGCTTACCAAAGTCACATCATTTATACCAACATTCTGACTTCATGACTGTTGTTTTCAGTTGGACGTCACAATTGGTGTTATTACACAAAGTATACGCCACAAAAATGGTGTATTAACTAAACAAATCTGTAATCATATTATAGATATACATTGATGTCACATGGAAGTAATGTGACACGACAGTCATATGACACACTATGAATGTGATATATATCTCGTGTAATATGATGGGAAGTTAAAAGAATAACAAAGAAAGCTGAAGCACGACGTCAGCACACTTACCATTGGGCACGTAAGTACACGTACCGGTAAGGTTTTCATCAGAAGTTAACGGTAGTGCTAGGCAAGTAAAATTTTCTGACTATTGGAGTTTCAGTTACCGACTATATTGATGTCAGACTATCAGAGGTTGAGTTGTACGGACTATTGATGTCAGTCTTTCAGGGGTTGAGTTGTACGTACTATTGATGTCAGACCACCAGAGGTTTAGTTGTCTGGACTATTGAAGTCAGACCATTAAAGTTTTAGTTATCCGGACTTTTGAAGTCTGACCATCAGAGGTTAAGTTGTCTATACGTTTGAAGTCATACCATCAGATATTTAGTTTTCCGGACCATTAAAGTCAGACCATCAGAGATTTTGGTTGTCTGGACTATTGGAGTCAGACCATCAGATATTTAGTTGTCCGGACTACTGATGTCAGACCATCACAGGTTTAGTTGTCCGGATTATTGAAGTCAGACCATCACAGGTTTAGTTGTCCGGACTACTGGAGTCAAACCATTAGCGTTCCAGATGAACACTTTTCCGTCTGCTTATTGTTATTATCGTTTATGCTATAATTTTAGCAAATACCAGGTAACTGCTAATAAATAATTCAGTTCAAATTTGTTTAAATATTATTAATCACATCGTAAGGACTAGGACTTTTACATGTTCAAATGATAATAATTACGTTTTGTATTAAATGCTAGTTGGTTATGGTTGAATGCCGATAGATCGTATCGTTCTGTATTGACATTTTGTTGTCAGATGTTGCCATGTGTTCAAATAACGATAGTTTGCGTTGCAGTAGCCGAGTGGATTACGTGCCGATATAGCGCTCATCATTTCGGATCGGATGATCAACTACTGTCGTAACTAATATGCATGTATGATAGGATAGTTATCGATATTGTCATCATAAGCTCAGCTAGTGTTTCAGTTGTGTACAGATGACGGCATACTGACCATACAGTTTATTGACCAGAATTCTTACCGGTGTTTAAGTCTAAGTTGTTTAAAGTATTGTCAACTTAATTCGATGATTTGAAAGCTCTAGAAATATTAGCATTGGGTTTGCCTAGTTAATTGTTGATGTGAATGTCTCGATGGTGAATGTGGACGTCTGTCAATATTGATGACAGTCCATTGACTTTAACAGGATTCAGTAGTATTCTATAATTACGTTTGTCATAACCATTCATCTTATTTCCCAGACGAGACGAATAATGCGTATTGTATTTTATGTTGATTCACGTCTCATAAATAGCCAGAATAAAAACTGTTATCGACTACTTTGTTCTCATTGGCGTTGTGAGGACACTTGAACTGAGAAATATATGCGAAATAAACAAAAGGCTTGTAATCAGCTATGATCCCATCCACCGATGTCACTACTTGTTATAGAATCTACACTGAAATTAATATTACGCCTCTCCCATTTTGTTTCAACAGTCGTTTAGACCAGTTTGGATATCCAGCTTTTCAATTGGCCCCTAGTATCATCACCAATGAGTTCTAAAAGGACAAAACAGCTGTATGGATGTGT